AGCAGATTCTTAGAACAAAAACAAAGATACAAAGACATAAAACGAAAACAGACAAAGAAGATACTTAGAACAAAAACATAAAAAGAAGCTAATGTTGCTCCTTTGTTGTGAAACTGTGTGTGTTTTGACAAAGCAAATTCTTAGAACAAAAACAAAGAGACAAAGACATAAAACTAAAACAGAGAGACAAAGAAGATACTTAGAACAAAAACATAAAAAGAAGCTAATGTTGCCCCTTTGTTGTAACTGTGTGTGTTTTGACAAAGCACATTGTTAGAACAAAAACAGAGACAAACACAGAAAAAAAGAGGGGCAACTCAGATACTTAGAACAAAAACAAAAAAAGGCTTATGTTGCCTTTGTTGTAACTATGTGTTTCTACAAAGCAGTTACTTCTAACTTTGAGTTATGTTGAGAGTGAGCATACCTTAGTGATGGGAATCTTGTAGCCGACGTTGCGGCCCACCCCCGTGTGGCAAGACTTCAACCCTCGAATGCCCTGCACGCTCTCGATCTGCAGGTTCTTGTGCACCACGGCGACGGCTTCGTAGCGGAATTCCTCTGCAACAGCACATTGAATGGCACATAGAATTATCTACGTATCTGTCCGGTTTAATTTGCATTAAACACTTAGAATAACGTCCAATCGCCACATCCATTCACGATTTCAATACCATTACAGTCCCTAATTGGTGACAAAATTGTATTGCTTTATAACAATATGAATCTTACCTACTACGTTATAATTACGAGCGTTTAGGAGTAATTAGGATATGAACACTTTGCCATGAAGATACCTATGTTAAAACTTTTTTATTTATTGCAAAAGCCGTTACAATAAGAGCCATTACAGTTTCCATGGCAAACAGGCATAGCTTCCAATGCTCAATACACATTTTCATTGTAATTGAGTATGTGTGAAGTTTATATTAACTTGAGGATGTATAAATATGAATTGAAAATTATATTCCATAATTAATATACTTATATATGCAAGTTATGGCGTCCGTTATCTAGTGAGCATGCATATGTAGTCGAAAGCATTTATTTTGTTTAGCTACAGATTAAAGAACTTCTTTCGTATTATTTGCCTCCAGCGGCTCTCCAAGCAACCAAATTCGACCTGGATTTCTTGAACACTTCATAAGCAGGAATTATTGTGAGGACAAGATTTGTTTCCTCATTAGCTCACTCACTGGAATAGTGGCACCAAAGGGAATCCCAGAATTACGGATGACATGAAAACGAATGCCCTTTAATTAACTATGTATCGAGTGCTCGATGAATATAATGCATTACCTTGCCGATGATAACGAAAAACTTATCTGTTCCCGTTTGCCAGAAGGACTATTTCGAATTTTGTATTGCAACACGATAGGGAAAGCGTAGTTGGGTTTGCGTAATTTTTTAGCGGTTGCCTCGCAGCCTCCAGATGCGGGTAGTTTTTCCGCGACCATTCAAGACGTGGTGTGTAATGTCCATTTTGCTCCGTCTGCCGAAGCTCGGAAAAGCTAGTTTGGCATTAGCTGCCCGATTCGGAGTTCGCGAAGCGACGTCCGGGAATCCCAAGCAGTCGCAGGGTATCTGCGATGGCCTAAGACGGCACGCCACGTGGAGAGACTTTCGGAAGCGCCTAGCGGCGAGGGCAAACCTTGGGCCGAGTGGCACGAACCGCCCTCCCTCCCCCGCCTCCACGCCCCCCCCCCCCGCTGGCGCTATAGGCCAACGCCCATGCATCACTCCTCGCAATCCGACCGCTCCAGACAGAATGCATCAGCAGCAGCCAGCAGAAGAGTTAGGTCACATGTGGCTGTTCAGGCAGACGTATCTATCTCTTCCTTGGTCTGCATACCTCCCTTGCCGACTCCCGTTTGGCATACGGAGTTAATGTAGTAATATGTATACTACGCACACTTTTTGTTGAGCTCTCCGTTTGCTAGTAGTGGTAGGAGCAGAGCCGCGGTTTAGGGTTACTATTTTAGTAGCAATACACAAAATAAAATCTGTGGTTCCTTTACTAATGCAAATTAGTTTTCTAGAACTCGGGAGCAAAAATGTCTATTTCTAAAATGTTGCTAAACTCGCTTTTTAAAATGTGTATTCATCTTACAACTTTTAATAGTTAAAATGTTGGGTAGAGATTGTAGATCTGAATAAAAACGTATGTTTAATAAAACGGTACGTTCCACTGTATTATAGTTTGGAAGAGTATACGTACAGATAATACAGAATTTATTACATGCATAAGATGGACATTATGAAACCGTAGTTAAGTACTATGTAGTTGGAATATATATCACAACCCCCACACAAGAAGTCGATGCTCAAATGTTAAATTTGTGAAGACGTATTTGCTTTTAAATTAATTAATTTCGTACAAACCTTTCTATTGTGTTCAGATATAATATTAAAATGATTATAGGCTATAGATTGTCTGTTAGTGTGCGATTATCTGTTCATAAGGCGGATTATCGGAGGGCCTTCAGTTCTGGATTTTAATTTATATGTGAAATTCTTCTTGTTTGTCAGAATAATGTGCTGCAAATACTGTTACAGTTGAGATTTATTCATGATTTGTCAAAGTAGGAAATGACTACTGTTCTTGACTCTCGAAATTACTACAGATATGCACCGCAGGTTGTTTTGAATTTGTTTAGACTTTATTAAGTGATGGCTGAAGTGATTATGTGGCGGAAATTGATATGTTATATTATTACGTAATTTTTGATTTACTTTAATTGTCGCTTAAGACGTGTCATACACCTCCCCTCTTTTACATACACTCGTGCGCAAACACTCGAATGTTTTTGAATTAAAAGAACTTAACTATTTCATTGGGTAAAATAAATGTAATCATGCATTTTTTTAATTCTCTTAAATATACCTTTGGTTATGTTTTAAGTAAACTTTACAATTTGATGGTGTTGTATTTTTAGCATACCGCTGGTAATAAAAAAGGTTGCCTGAGGGTAGTTTTGAAGAATAACTGTTCATATAACCCAATTCCGGCATTCACAATATTTATTGTATACGCTGTAAAAATGTTCTGGGCTAGTCATATATTGCACATTATGTGTGCAGTCGTCCGTACCTGTCGGCTCCAGGGTGGTGCGCACCTCCTTGAAGACAGTGAATGGCACGTCTGCGGACGTGGCCAGGTACATGTCTTCCGGGTCGGCAGCCATGATGTCTGCTTGCCCGTGGCCCACCTTCTCCAGACAGTCCACTCTGCAAAATAGGTCTCGTAATATATCGATGTATGATTTTATGAAAAAATGTTAATGCAAAACTAAAACGTTTCTTTTACTGAATTATCAAGACAATATTAAAAATGATTCTTCGACGACGTTGTAGGGACAGAAACTTGAATAGTGGAGTTTTGCAATAGTTTTAAAGTATTTTTGCGAAAAAGATAGGTGAAACAAGGCATATTTTGTATATTAGGACACGACTTAGTACGAAAGTTGTAAAATATAATACTAGATTTTAATAATCATATAGTTTTAATATATTTTTGCAAAAAAGGTACGTGAAACAAGGCATATTTTATATATTAGGACACGACTTAGTACAAAAGTTGTAAAATATAATCCTAGATTTGAATAATCATATGCCAATGGGAAGAATTTCGAAAGGAGAGTATGAATTTTGAGATTGGTGTTGGTATCGAATGTAATTATGGAAGTATTAATTCATATTTTTTATTATGCATTGAATCGATTCTGCGTACACCATTTTCTAAATACATTGAGTCATTTCATCTGTGGGCGAGTACACTTGCATTTAATCTTTAATGAAGTCGTGTTTGGATTCAAGATGTGAAAATGTGTACGTTGCATGAGCTTAGTGAGTCATGTTAATGCAGCATACGTGGTTCCAAGAAGCTCACCTGTCTCTGGCCTTCACGCATTTTAACCGCGAGCCTTCCTGTTGTTGCATGGTCTGACAAGCAGCGAAATACGGCTCAGGCACGCAAAGATTAACTGCAAAATAAAAGAAAGAAACCTTTAAGTGACGTTCATTTCAATGAACGACATTCAATTCCGTAGTGGCGTATTACTTTCGCAATCACTATCAGAAATAGTTGCAGGAAATGTCAGTGATTGGCGAAATTAAGTCATGCAAGGTATAATGTAGACATTTGTTTTGAATAATTTTCAGGGAGTTACAATTTTCTTGATAAAATTTTAAAATGATTACAAAAATCTTAAATGAAAGTACAACAAAATAAAAAATATCGGGAAAACTAACAAAAAAGTATTTATAATTGAGAACGTTCAAAATACACATTTCAATTAAACATTTCAGTTGGCGTCAGCTCTACAATGTTGTTATTCAATGTGTGCTGCCTCTTGGTCCCACCTATTATAGCTACGTCACTGCACATAATTTAAACAATTTATTCTTGTCGGAGGGTTTCAATGTAATCAAGTGACCATTGCCGTGCATGATGTCCGAACGACTTTTCGATTGCTTCTAGCTATCTATATCTTTTCTTCTATGTGGTTTACCACTCTCAGAGCACAACTATTCTACATCTCACAGTGTACATCAACCTGAACTCATTCTGAACAATCAAGAAATGTGTTGACTGACGCCTTTAAACGTACGAGTAATTCCAAGGAAAGAATGGAGCCTGACTGTTTACTACTAGTTAGTTTTCGTCTCTGTTGCCAAATGAAAGGCATATTTTTCCAATACCATTAAAAGAATTCTGTCTAACATTAGCTTAGAGGCCCAGAGGAAGGTCGCAGAATGGCGTCCGAAACGTCGGCAGCTTCGCCATGGACGCGGCGTCACCCGGACAGCCTAGTAAATACTGACTCCGGCCGCGGAAGCCTACGCTCTCATTTCTTCAAGTCTTTTGTAGGTGATCTTTAGTAGCAATTAAGTACTTAATACAGTGACAATATTTATTTTACACTCCGATTAAAACCGGAAGTCCTTTCAAGATTACGAGCTGGCGGCAGAGGGCGGTTCTGTCATCGTATCGCGAGCTTCGTTACGACTTAAAGTTTAGTACTGAAACCTCCCTTCGATGGCAGTGTCCTCCTCTCTTTTCAACTCGTGACCTTAAAAGGCCGTCTTCTGTTAATCAAAGTATAACGCAACCTTTATTCTCCAATTGACAGTTATATATATATATATATATTCACATATATACATACATACATAAAAAATAAATATCAACCAAATTTCACACCTAAAATTTCGCATTTGTAGTTGTTTTTTACCTCAATCACATGAAGATACTAAGTCACAGTGAATCATCATACTTCTTAAAACTTGCCGAGACCGACCTGCGTACTGTAATACACACCGCCATCTTGTTTACGCTGTTTAGACTTTTAGTAAGAGTTGAATGCAATTCAAAATCCGTTAACATCCTGGAAGACGTCCAATGTAAACGAAACGTCTATTTGATGTCGACAAACATGCGTGAATAAACACAATTTAAAGTTAGAGAAAACAATTATCACTTAAAGAATTATCTTCCTACTCCCCAAATATTTAGATTACCATAATATTGGTCATATGCTGTCTCAGTTTGATATGTAAAGAACGTCTGTGCGCTATGTTTCTGTGTCAAGCAGTTGATGATACTGTGCATTTCTGACACAAGAACGGGTTACGTTACAACGACGTCATGTCGGGACTGAAATGCTGATGTAGCACAGAGTAATGCATTCTCAAATTATATAATGTGCAAACAAATAGTGAATACTCCGCAAGTTTGAATTGCAAATTCATATCATGAATTTTATTCAGTAGTTTCTGAAAAATAAATTCAAATAATTTTTAATAAATATAAGTTAATAAAAACTATCATTAGCTATTATTGTATTTTGTCAGTACCTACTTTAATTTTTGAAATATTTATAAATCACAAATCATGACAATATTTTCCGTACTATTGATTTGTTGAAGCAGCTCCACGCATTCGGTAATCGGCGAGTAGGGCCACTGCCGGCTGAATCGCGAGTAGTGTGGATGGGTGGCTTGCTATTTGCCGAGCGACGAACATGCGGAGCCCTTCCGACCCATCGCGTGGTCTTTTGAATACATCAAAGGATTCGCCGAACCCATCAGCTGCTCGTGGTTGAGCGATCAATCGCTGGCTACTCGGCGAATACCAAATGTTTGGGGCAGTCTTTCACCCTTTGACTATCCTGGACGTGTGGACACCCGGACAATTTCTGTGCCTGAGGCTCTCAGGACGTTTCAACGCGCGCAGTCGGGCTGTCGCTGGAAGCATCTAGACGTGTATAGACGCGAAGCCATTCTCGTTCTTATAATGCGAGGACCAAAAAATTCCAGAGATGATTTTAGTGGTATCTACACGTATCTACATACGTGTGGTTGAGCGCATTCTCGCCAAGCACATCGGGTACCGGGAGATGTGGCCAAGGGCGTCAACTGATATCACTGCAGTGCCTCTGACCGGGAGGTCCAAAGTTCGAGTCCCGACCGCGGCAGGATTCTCGACACTAGCTAGACAGCCGAGTCGAATTCAGCTGCTGTCTGGAGGAGAATTCTAGCGATCGGTAGTTTTCCGTGGTTTCTCCGATCAACGCCAGGCGAGTGCCGGATACACTAACAAAAGGGCCACGGACCGCGCGCGATCTTTCCTTCCTGTACTACTCTACCACACATGCCGGGCGACCAGTCGGAACTTAGAGCTTGTCCCAGCTGGGGAGGTTCCCCGTTGGTGGGAGATACCTGGTAAGGGGAAAACCCCTCTGACTGTAGGTCAGCGCCGGATCGCGCTATCCAGCCAGGGAAGATCAGCACCTCCTCAAAAAACATACACGACACTGACGGGACTAGTAACTTTAGCGGTTGACGCGTTCGGAATCAATGAATCCAGAGTACATCAGGTGCTCGGGACTGGGCGAACAGTGGCTCGCATCTTGGCGAATGCCGAATGTGTGGAGCCGCCTTTAAGCAAAGGCTTCAACGCCTCTTCCTCTCGAGCCCCCTTCTCGACTCCGGTCTCCACCGCGGGCGGCGCAGCGATCGCCGGGGCGCTGAACCGGTCGGCGCGCCGCACACCCAGCTGATTCGTTTTGTTTTCGCTCCCTCGCCAACTGGTTCCTTCGCGTGCGGCTCGCCGCGCCGCGCGGCGTTGCGCTGCTGTTTTCTCCGGTTGCCCCGGGCAACGCGTTCGCTTCGCCCTGACCCGCGCGCAAGAACCGCCATTACCGAGCTCCTCGTCCGGTTGTTTGCGAAGCTTGCGCGCTTTTCCTAAGCGCAACTCATCAGTCGCAGTTACGATGATTGATGGTTTGTTCGGGTGAATATCTTGGAGGAGGATGCAAAAAGAGCGAAGAAGTGAATGGTTTTGTTGTTGGTGTTGTTTGCGACGGTCAGAGGTTGTAAATTACGTAGGAAATGTGAACGAGGAGTCGTTGAAGACGATACTTTAGGGTTTAATCCTACGAGGAAAAATTCTAGAACGAAATTGAAGGCAAAATGCTTCAACTGTTCGTTAAGCAAATCTGCTATAGCACTAAATTCGTTAATCAACTCGCAAATTCGTTATTTTTATTTTCTTTGAAATGTTAAAACTTTCGAGTGTTCTTGAAAGTCTCATATTTGAGTACAGAACTATTTGCCGCTTTGACTAATGAACTGGTTCAAAATTTACAGTTTTCTGAAGCTTCTTTATCAATAATTAATTGCAATAATATTATACGTTTTATAAAGTTCCCTTAAATACGAATTCTTGAGACATTTTGTCGGTAGTTACATCATG